TATGAAACATTATTTGCTGTGTTAAGAGTTCTTGACTAAATTTCTTGGACAAAATGTGAGGCAACTGATTAAATTTTCTGCTTCAGCCTGTACAAGTCCAAAATCATGCTTGAAAAATCAATAAGTTGGTGGCGAAGAGAGACTTTCAGGCAGCAACTCTAAGGGGATACTTTGTTGATAGGCAGATTTTGTTCACTTTGGAAAGAGCCAGGCTGTTTACCCTGTTTCTGCTCTTTGTACTAAACTAAGTTAGCCTGCTATTGATGCTAGCTTCATATTTAGCATACACTCATGTGAGTGGTATCAATGTCCTCATCTGATTCTCAGAGAAAAAAAAGCAAATAAAGCCATTTCCAAGAATATCAAACTTTTCATTTCACCGACCGCTCGTGCGCATCCGTAATAATTCAATGCCAAATCCAACTTTGATGATACATTAACGACACCAGTATCACTGACCCTTCTATCTACAGTTCAAGTCATGTGAATTGTCAAAACCACAGAGGTCATCAGGTTTTCTCAGCCTTCTTAGGCTACTCATTGATCACAGTGTAAACAGATAGAGTAACACCAGTAGTTCACGTTCTTTAAAACATTCACTTCCATCATTTAAAACCACAGACTCAAACGCCATTTGATAGACTGTGATCCTATTGACTTTCAGAAGCTGATAAAAAATCTTATTCTATGACTGTGTAAATGCAGACAGCTACACGCTCTCAGAAACAGTCCAAAATGGGACAAGGAAAGATAAAATACAAGTGAACATTCATCTCACTGGTAGGTATTATATTTCCTTTTCACCCAACAGTTTAATATTTTCCTTGGTTAATTTTTTTCCTTTTTCCAGTGCAATCTTGTGACATTTTCCATTTCATTTAATCCAGTCTTGTTAAGATTTTTTTGAGGTGTTGAAGTCATTTAGAAGAGTTGGTTTACCGTCTGGCTCTGACAGACCAATGGCAGCTGCTCAGACGCGATCCAACTCTAAACACAAAGCAGGAGGAACCCTTCGCTCCTCCACACGTGTCCCACAAATCCTGTCTTTACATATGTAAAGGAAAATAAACACCTTCTGCTTCCCCTGCCTTGTCTCGCTTCCTCACTTCTGCTCTGTCTCAGTCATATGAGGGTGTATAAACATGAGCCTCTGTGGATCAGTGCGCAAAGAGACAGGATATGAGAGATTCCCCTCACCTCTCCCTTTTGAACCTGCGTCACAGACAGTGAAAAGTGGCTGCTTTCCAAAAAATAGCAACAGAGGGGTCAGGTCTGCTCTGCTTCATGCCTGTTGATACAGTTCCAGCCTGATCATCCTCAGCTGCGGAGGCAGCGCTCCCTCACTGCTCTGTATGGACTATCATAACACAGTGTCCACGTCAGTACACGGTTGTGATTGCACATAGCGTATACACAAAGATGCAGACACACACACACACACACACACACACACACACACACACACACACACACACACACACACACACACACACCTTCCACCTTTTAAAACTGAATCCGATGTGCCTGAGGCTGAGCACGAGGGTAAACAACAAGGAAAATCAAACACACTGGAAGGAGGTTAGACTAAGACCCTGAGGGGCCAAAGGGCCCTGCAAGGATAAAGAGAATGAAAGTAAGAGGATGTGATAGGGGGCTGGTGTGTGCTAAAAAGATTAACTGATTAATTGATTGGTAAAAATTAATCTGCAACTATTTTGACAGTCAGACGATCAGCTGCTTTCTTTGGGTTTTAGACCGTTGGTCAGGCAAAACAAACAATACATGTCAGCTTTAGCTATGAGAAACTGTGGTGGGCAGTTTCCCTATCTATGTTGTCTTTTATATTTAATGAATGAAATGATTAATTTATTCAACAGATTAATCAATAATGAAAATAACGGTGTGCTAGCTAGTGTCATCAAATGCTATGGCTTTTATAGTTAGAAGTGTAGTAGACCTCAGATTGGACCACCATCATCGAAACACCAAATGAGGAAATATCTTTTGGAAGACTGACACTGAAGCTGTTCTGGGGGCTTGCGATGGAAATGATCAGTAAAAACCTTAAAATCAGTTTTAAAACAGGCAGCAACTGTAGAATTCCTTGAGCTGGAGCAATGTGATTTCACCTGTTGGTCCCAGTTAAAACCCAAGTCAGCAAGTTTGTCCTTACAGCCAGGGATCAACTAGGAGGAGAGGGATAAAGAGGAAGCAGAGGTGCGGTGGGGAGGAGTCTGGATGAAGAGGTGTTTCATAAACCCTGCCGCCATATCTTCCACCTCGGATTGCCAGGGCCCAGCTGTTGCGGTGGAGAAGCTCTGAGGCTGATTCAGAGGCTGGCTTAAGATGAAAAAAAAATGTATATATATATATATATATATATATATATATACACACACCAGTAAAGGGAAGACCAGGAAGACATTTTTCATCCGAGCGGTGGACTGTGCACTCTCACTTAGCTTGGCTCAATTACCTTCTTTCCTCTCTTCCTCGTCTCCATGCTTCGCCACTTAAAATGTGTGAAAAAGAGGATTCAGATTAAGTGGCTTCTAGACTGTGCAGGTGAAAGAGCAGAAAAGTGCCAGATTTACGCAGTGTGGCCATATGCTACAGTCAATCAGGTGATGTTCCAGGTGCCTGAGTCAAAACTGTCAGCCTCACTTACAACTATCCCGCCACAGTCCCGATACCACCACATTAATAAATTACTATCTAATAGCCCATCTCAAGCCCATTACTCAAACTCAAATTGGAGCAGTTAAGATCAAATCTGAGATCAGCTCACAGCGCTTTTGATCAGAAAAATAAAGGGCTCGGCATTAAAAAAAAAAAGCACCATCATTTTCTCCGCGGTGACTGCAGCTCATAAATGTCATAAAGCTGAATTGGTGTGATGGGGAAGGGGTGGGGGGTGGGGTGCAGAGTGAGGGGAGAGGGGGAACCGTACAGTAAAGAGTGGGGAGAAGAGTAATAACAGAGAAACTCAGGCACAGACATCTGCAGCAGTGCTAATCTTAGCATGCCATCTAGTGGTGACAGGTGGTATCACTCACAAACAGAAGCTCTGTGCCCTCAGAGATTGAAATTTAGAGATCCTGACAAAATGACAAACATCACTTGATGATGAAATATAGTTAGGGTCTTAATTAAAAAGACTGCTCCGTGTATTTTCACATAATGAATACAAATCAACACCCAGACAACATGATCGGCTTCTGCTGGGACTGCGAGCTTGGAACAAGTCTACTCTCTCAGAAAGTCCTGAACAAACTCTTGCTGATGTTAATTAATACGCCTTCTTTTTTCAGTGCAGAATAAAGTCATTTTTCACCGCACAACTTTATCCCCCACAATCTGAATCGCGCTGATTTCATGCTCTGTTCAGCTGGAACCCAAAAGGTGCTGACTCAGAAGACAACTTGACAGAGTAGACCAAAGTAAAGATTAATGCGGTGCACACAAAAACGTTAGTCAATGGTCCACATACAGATTTGAAATAAAAAAGTTAAGGCCTTTTAGGGGGGTTTCTGCATAAAAACCAACTTAACTGTTTAAAAGGTGTGCAGGTAGGTGCTATGATGCGGAGGTGGGTTGGTGCTACAATGTGAACGGGATCGCCACATCAGACACACCTCCACTCCACCTCCCAGCTCCAGTCCAGCCTCCCCACTGTGGTACATCCTCTCACATCCTGCACTAACGTGACATCATGCCCACCAGAAATGCTTTCTGAAGGCTGCCTAATGAATATATAGCACAGAGAGGACCCCAATTAGTGGGCCAGCTAAAGGAGGGAGGGGGCTGCGGGGCTGCCACGCCATAGCACATAAACAAACTTATCTTGACAGGGTCGCTTCACCAAAGGAGGGAGACAGGCGGATAGCGAAGGAGGCTGAGAGAAAATGAATTACCTTCCTGACACACGTTAAAGCCAATCACTGCGGCGCATCGTTTGCCGCTCCCGCGCCCCAAATCCCTGCCGCCACCGTTGCGTTTCATCTGCCAGTGTTAGTATGCATACAGGCCGCGCGCCAGCCTCCAAATGTATTCATTTATTCAGAGCCCCTCGGAGAAATCACAGTGTCTTGTTGTCCTTTTTCCCTGGCTGTCCAGATGGAATTTGCGTGAATAACATCAGTTTAGTGAGGCAGAAAATAAGTACAGGCTAGCACAGCGGAGGGGACTAGATTACACCCTCTCCCACCTCCCCAAAAACAGGATGGAAAGACAAGTGTCACCTTCATATACTCTTTTCTCCCTCTTTGTCTGCCTTTCTCATTTTCTTTTCAAGTTCTATTGAAACTTAGCAGGCAGGGGGGGTGAGGCTAAAAGTAAGAGAACTATTCACTACAATTATTTTGTGTTATCATGCACTGCAGGTTCAATTAAACAGAAGATCATGAATCAAAGAACTAGAGCGGCTTTCTCATTACAAAAAGGTGAGCGGCCATCAAGGGAGTGCAGCCCAATGCTCATTTATCCTTGTTTTGTTTTGCATTTATAACGCAACTAATTGCATTAATTAATCAGATGTACTTCCAATTGGAGGGAGAGCGTCTTGAACAAGAAAGAGTAATTGAGTAAAAAGTAATTGAAAGAGATGAAAGTGAGGGGAAAAAAAAAAAAAAAAACTGTAAATCAATAATTCCAACTTCAATAAAGCCCAAGAGAAATTAAAATGTCTTCAGTCAGAAGGGTGGAAACTCTCAATATTCGTCGGGCTTATCGCAAAGAATTCACCATACTGTCTTCAAGGAGTCAAGTAATTGTCTTTAATATAAACTCTTGAAATTAATTTCAATAGGATCTGTAAGATGTCCTTCACGGTTGACTGAAACTAAAGTTAACCACAGACAGACAGACAGAGACAAACAGACAGACAGAACGTGTGTGATCTGCTTTGGATCAGGTATTATTGATCATTATCACAAGTGACTGACAGACAGGAAGAAGTGAGTGAGTGAGTGAGTGAAAGAATACAACTGAATGAATCCTACCTCTCTGAGAACGGTGCTCCCGAACCCTCTGTACAAGCCTCGCACACCCTGCTCAGAGAACAACACACAAACGTACCGTCACAAACACAGACACAATATATAAGATGATTGGTTTCAAATGGATAAATAGAGAAATGTTTGAATTTAAGAAACCATTAATATTTACTGGATAGCACACTTAGTATTAAAAAGAATTATTATTTATTTAACATGCAAAGTTCAATATTTCACAACAACCAACGGCCAGATGAAAGGTTTGTATAATTGACATGTGAAAAATATAGGATTAAAAAATAATTCCAGTTCATTACAACCTCTAACTTTCATAATTGTGGGCTTGATTTATGAAGACATTTCACACATCAAAGTAGCTGCTGAGAGCTGGGTTAGGGTTATAACATTCGTATGCTCCAGCCAGAGCACCTGTCGGATGGTTGAGCAGCATCTGAAACCTTGACGTCAGACTTGGGGTGGCTGCATACGACAATTTCTACAACTTCCCAAAAGCCGACAACCAAGCGCAGAACACAGTATGTCTCACAGGAAAGATTGTGCGTCAGCATGCACCATTATTCCACAAATTGATGCTTTGCAGACCTGCAGAGTGCGGCCTTGAAGAACAGGGATGAACACTTTTGCTTTCAAATGTGGTCACGTGTTCCTTTTACCACAGCCTCTAGTATTTTGTGTGTGGTCCTTGGGTTTGGTTTGTTTGATCGTCTGACTACCTCTTGCCTCAACAGTGCTATTATCACCAATAGGAATGATGAGCAAAACAACAACAAAAAAATAGATCAAAGTTGCAATAAGCCAGAATTATCCTTTACTAAAGTGCCTTTGATTGCTGTGTACCTCTTCTCTGAGTGTAGCCAGCAGCATTTGGTAGGTGGTGGACGACGGAGAAGCCTGGGTCCTCTGTTTGACCACCTCTGTGGGGACCCGTATAAGACACGCCACCTGCAGGATGGAAAGAACATGAGTTAAAACGAAAAAAACACATACCTACGATCTCAATCTACAGTACTGTACTTGCTTCTTACGGGCTTCTGATACTGTACACATTTTGTGTTTAATTTGCAGCCTGGTGTGTGAGCAGAGAGACTCAATCGCCACCTCACGCACCGCTCCACTAGGTGCGCTGCTGCTGTACATGACACTAGCCTGTGTATGTCTTTGCTATGTGGCAGGTGGCCATGATATGCCACGGCCTGAGGAGAGCAATTACATGGAGCTGGCAGGCTAACAAGTGCTTTAGTTAGTGTGCAAGTGGGCAAATTAACGAAACAGTACATACGGCAGACATGACACCTGAGCAAAAGATAAAAAGGTCATCAGGTTGACTGTGTATCTGTGTCCAAACAACATGCACTTCCATCAAACACACTGGTGGATCCAGACACACATGCACACCCCAGTAACCACACTTCCTGCTACAAGTTACAACTCATCCACCATATGTCAACAAAAATATGGACTGCCAACAGCTAGTGAAGATAGACATGAATATTTATGCTTCATAACTCCCATCGCCCTAAAGGCAAGCAGGCAGGCACAGCTGCCCACCTGGTGACTTGATTTCCCATTTATCCTGCATCGGAGCGGAAATACTGGCTAACGGCAAGCAATCTTACAGAGCGATCGGTGAGCCACCACCACCCCACCCACCCCCCACCCCCCCTGCTGCTGCGACTCCCCTCGGTCATACAGATGCCAGTCTGCCGGTGCCACCCTCACCGCGCCAACGTGAAGCAGGGAGAGGAAGGAAGAGAGAGAAAGAGCGATGGAGGCAACGCAATACAGACGAAATGCACCCCTTTTTTCTGTTTTGCTCCTTCTCCGTTCAGCTATCCATACTGATTTAGCATTTGGGCCCCAGCAGAAGTTTTAGATGGGCCCTGGAGGATAAAGCTCTGCCGCTGCGCTCTGCGAGGGGAGAGGAGGCTACCACGACAGCTGTTATAGGGCTCATTTCTGTCAGCTGCTCGTCCTCTCTGTCGTCTCCTCTACCAGAGAACCAAGGACACCTTATGAGCGTGAACGTGACTATATGTGGAGCACAAAGGAGAAAGGACAAGTCAGCAGTGCTGGGAGTCAAGTGAAACCACAGACTGAGTCGACATGTGAAGCTAAACAGGCAAAGTTTTTGCTCCGTAACTCTAAAAATCCTATTAACTACCAATTACGGTTTTTCAGCTTTGTTTTTATCTTCACTGTATGACTTTTGCCACAGGCCAATGCAGTCCCTCCTCTGTTCACTGCACAGTGAGCAGATAAACCTCAACCTCTAAGAGCAAAACAAAAGATTTGAACGAGAGTCTATGGAGTGCTACTCTCATTGGTATTTCAGGTGAGTGTGACCGCTTTCTAGCCACTTCCGAACCGCGGTGCAACAGTACCACCAAGTGGCCAAACTTTCACCAGCATCACCTCCCCGTGAAAGCTAAGCTGGCTGCATCCATCTCAGAGATCTCATTTACCCTCCCTTTGGTCAAGTTACCATTTATAATACATTGTACATCATGTTTTCCCCAAACCAATTCTCCAAAGGAGCAGAATAAGCCAGCTAAACAGAAAGAAAGTGGCTATGACAAGTAATTACTGACGTAATTGGATGGGGGGCCTGGAGTGGAGACGGCCTTTTCCTCTCTTGTCACTGCAGAGGGGAAGGCAGAATGAGGCAGAGATTATACCAAATAAATTAGGGACATTGTTTATTTGGGAGTAATTTGCGCACCAAGGGGTGGGGGTGGGGGGGGTGTTGAGTGAATAGAAGATGAAGTGTGCAACCTCTGAGGCCGTTTCAGATCTCAGCAAATGGGGGAAACGCCGGTGATGAATCGGGCCATGATAAAATAGGGCTGGGGCGAAAGAAAGTCTGGATCGTAGAGTCACATCGTGTCTGGCGGTGTAGAGGCAGTATGCCATCACGTTAGAAAGAATGAAACAAAGAGGGAAAGAAAGAAAGAATACAAGATGTAGGAACGTGTCCCTCATTAGAAGTCAGTCTTGTTACCTCACGTTTAGAGGAGGGCTGTAGGTGGAAGGCTGACAGGAAGACAGACGTCTGTTGCTTCACCTACTTCGCTTGCCCTTCATTCTCAGTGTTTTGGCATGTAAACTTACGATAAACCCGTTGGCAGTCTTTTAAATTCCTGCTACCATTCATCTTTATTTACAAGCTGTTGGATCCATCAGGCTGCGTTAATTAGGAGGCTGTCTGCCTGTGATTGGAGCCTTTCAGTTTCCCTTGGCCTGCTGTTGTTAATCCAAATGACAGAGCGTGTTTTCAATTTCCAGCAATGGCCGCAAAACAACAAGGTAGGAAGCCGGTGCTCAATCACTGGCAAAACAACAGTAAGGAATGGGAAATTAGCAGTGACTCACAACACATTATCGGCATAGGCAGCGAATCAATCTGCAAATCGAGTCATTACATCCCTCTGTCCTCCTCTCCTTCGCTCCATCCCTCTCTTAAACGCTCATGGACATCAGGACACAGTGGTCAGTCAATCAGGACTGGAATTACTCTTTGGCACCACAGAGAGACAACAGGTAAGAAAAACATACAGGCTGCAACAACTGGTTTTGGGCCTAAATTATTTGGAGTTGTTTGTCATTAAAATGTACTGCATTCAACAGCAGGTTGCCAAAGAGGTACTGCAGTAGTCACACATATAATGACACTGTAGAACAAAAAACTGAGGGGAAATGTGCAATTTGACTGAGACGATAACTGAGTAGAATGTAACTTTATTTTCTATAACTGCATCCAGAATGTCAAATTAACTCCAACCTAAAGGTTTGCTTATCTTAACTTAAACTTTCACTTAACACATCTCAACATGTCACAACAGCGATCATGAGATGTGTTCCGTGGAACAAAAGATACTCTAAAATCCCGTTCATCTGTTGTTACACTAATCTATTGTGGAAAAACAGAGGCTTCCCATCTCATACATCACATCTGAAATCTCAGCGGCAACACAGTAAAGCCTGTGTTGACCACAAAATCCACATCCCCTCCTTGCAAAGACAGTATGTACCGCAGTGTGTATGAGCACCAAAGTCCAGTGACTTTTCTGGGTTTCTGATCATAAGCCCATTCCTTGAAATGCATCATAGTATCAAGAAAGACTGAAATATGAGACGACAAAGGAAGAAGCAAGGAAGAGAGGGAAGAAAAAAGGTCATGAAGAAAACGGGAAGAGATGAGGACACTGCGTGTCTCCAACTTTGAAACAACAGCCAATAAATCACAGAGCGTGGCGCTGCTTGAAGGCGATGCATGGATTATTTCTCAGTGCCAAGTTAAGTGGCTGCCAGTTTCTCCCCCCAAAAACTCCTCCCTCGTGCTACCTCCTTCTCTCTGTCCCCCTATCTTGTCATGTCACACTGTATTTTCCAGTACATCCTCCCACAGACGCGTGGTGGTGAGGCGGGCGTGGAGGGGGGGGGTTTATAGATGCGAGAGAAGCCCGCCGCCTGGCCTTGACAAATGAGCTTTCAGGGCAGACGTCGAGCGAATGGGAATGAAGATAAATCTGATTTAATGGCTGGATAACAGCCTGCTAGAGCCTGACAGACGCCATCAGCTTACACATTCTTTATGGGAGCGTCCCACCATTGCAGTCACACAAACACCAGGACACTTCTGGCGGGGGGGTGGGGGTGGGGGGGTTTCTCTCATTGTCTTGACCCGCTTGTTATTTCTCTCTACAACTTCCGACTGTGCTCCTCTCCGTCTCTGTAGTCCTGCTTTTGTGTTCAAGATAAGCCAGGCGTTAAGTAGGTTGATATAGAAATGGCATTAGTTATGACATTTGAAGACCACCATCCAAAAGCTGTAATAAACTTCTGCCATGCATCTATGTCTATTTCCACCACCTGAATTCTAATGAAGGAACATATTTAGATCTTTAACTATAAATTTATTTTTAAAATATTGATCCCTGTGCTCTTTAATCCTCACAAGTATTTCACATACGGTGATGAAGCTTGTTGTTGCTGTGCAGGGCTGTCCACTCCTCCTTCACCCTGAACATCTGTTAGACCGAAGGCTCGACTATAAAGATGAAAATGAACGGTGTGTAAGTGTTCTCTTTTCTTTCTTTCAATTCCAATCTCATCTCTTTATGCAGAATAAATTCTGACCTACTACTCCCTCTGGTACGATCATAATAGACTTTGAATGAAGTCCACATCTAGTAAGTTAGTGCCAAGTCGAGCGCATCATCCAGAGGGAGGCTTGGGGATGGGATTAGCAAAACACTAAGTCCCATAAAGCTTCTGTTGTGAATGTTGCAGAGTGGAAACAGTTGGTAAAACACAACTAAATGGACTCCTGGGGAAAGGATCATGGGCTGATGAAGGGGTGGAGTCGGGAAGTCAGACAAGGACCAAATAAAAAGTTGCTTCCTCTTCGTCTTCTTCTTCTTCTTCTTCTTCAAGCTCTTGTGTGTCAAAGCCTGCCAGCACCCAGCTGCTCCCAGAAAGAGAGAGAAAAGCAGGAGGAAGAGCTACAGAGAAACACTGTAAAAATATGTGGCCCCGTCCTACACTGGCAGAACAGAACTACAGTACAATGTAAAATGGAAGATGAAACATAATGCTAATGAAAATCTGTTGGAGTCTACATTCATGTTGGCATCAATGTGATTTGTGCTTCAGATTTGGACTGAGGTTGGTGAGAGGAGAGAACTTCACCTGCTAACATGATTATGTTCTGTACTAAACTTAGGGCTGAACTACTAATAGAAAATATAATTAAAATGGCAATATGGCCAAGTGCAATATCCAAATCGCAGGAGCTGCAGTTTTTTGATTAAAAAAAAAAAAGGTTAAATATGTCCCAACATACCATAAATGAAGCATTGTGCTGCTACAGAAATGCCCCGGTCTGTAAGGGAGCGTGTTGGTGATCAAAGATGCAGCTGGTGAGTATGAAAGGGGACTAAATGGAGTAACGGTGGCTTAAACCTGGAGGATACATACACCGAACTGAACAGATACCTTACAGATTGAGTCTGGTGTCTTCTCAACTCAAAAAAAGGTGTGGAGTGGCCATTTTGAAGAGGAGCGATTGTGAGATTCATGTTAATCTAACAGCTGATCACACCAGCAAACAGAAGAGACGTGCTGTGTGTTGGTAATTTTCAAATCATGTTTATTTCTATTCCTCAGAACACATTTCTCAAAAGATTTGGCAGGATTTTGCTTTCTAGACTGGACTAACAAACAATTACAAAACGCCGTGCCACAACATACTCTCGGATGCAAAAAAGCACAAAGAAGGGAGAAAAAGAAACATGAGTTTAAAAAAAAAAAAAAAAAAGGCACAATTTCCCAGAGCCCATGGTGACATCCTCACATTATTTGTATTGTCTGACCAACGGTACAAAACCAAAGGTGAATCAGTTTTCAAAAGCTGCAAATCTTCACCTTTAAAGAGGATGCACCCTGAAAACTCTTGGCATTTGTGCTTGATAAGCAACTTAAACGATCAATCACTGATCAAAAGTTGAAAAAAATCATTTTCTGTCGATCTAACTGATTAACGTGATTGTTACGGCGCCAGACAAAACAAATCTATTGCACCTAAGCTACTCCAGCTGCCACCACTTTTGTTAGACCCTCAGTGCAACAACTTTTAATTAAAAGTCATTAACATTGAGTGAGGAGACACAGGATCGTATGTGGCAGCAGTTGCATCATAGCGCAGGCATTTAGGCCGTGCATACAACTCGGGGCAGCACTAGGGTAGACCTTTCATTGCTAAGCCTGAAGATTACTCTCTTTGAACAAGACGTATCCAGTTGCCAGAATGCAGAGGGATGCCGCCCCTGCTCTGCTCAGCTCCACTCCGAGGATTTAAGCGTTTGATGTGCTCAAATCCGGAACAGCAGGAAAGGGGTTAAAGGTAGCTGCAACCCCAGCCTCACCTTTCACACTCATCTGTGCTGTGCCACAGACAAAAAGTTGAAAAAAATGTGTGGACTGTTAAGTGTTAAAACTCAATATCTGCAATAACGGCCACGTTGATCGTGACGAGTAGAGGACATAAACCGGGTGCAATGCTTATTGAATTTGCGCTAATCTGAGAGTAACATGGTGTCCTCTTCTCAACGCTGTCACACACCAAGACGCAGATCAAGTCAAGCACAGTGAAAACCCTCCCATGTGGGATAATCCCATTTCATAAACATGCAAAACTTGGCTAAATTACATCCATCGAAAAGCAATGAATACTGAAAACCTAGTATTTTGCAGAAAGCTGTGGTGGTATAGCTGGCGGGGGGGGGGGGGGGGGGGGGGCGCATCCCGCTTTCCATACCCCTCAAGCATTCATGCCAGTGTGAAACCCCATGGCCCCCATATGGCTCAGATTCTGCGGTTCACTGCGAGTGATTGGGAGAGGATGGGCTGAAGAAATTGCACCGTTCCTCGTTGCTTTCAAGCCTGAATTCCCCAGACTAAATTGGCAGAGTCTGGGGGCCTGAGCTGGGAAAGTAGATGAGTCAATAGGCAGTAATGAGAGCTTATTTACCCAGCTGGTGGGGGGAAATGCTGGGACAGTCCTGAGGAAGCCCCCTTAACTCACCCAGCTGGACCTAGAGCCTGGAGCCAAAACCACACATCCACCCCCCCTCTTCCCCTGCTGCCCCCTTGCATAGTGGTCTGAGAAATTTGAAAGGCAATAACGTTACGCGCAACGTGGTGCTCATTTGGGAGTTACATTTAGTGGGAAAGAAGCAGCAAGACGAAAGCAAGTGGAATGTAAGAGCAACAGCAAGCGCATAGGTCAGCTGGCCTTCTAAAGATAGGATGACTGAGATTCAATTAAGCAAACACAAATAACATGACTTCAAAGTGTACAGGCAGAGTGAAACAGGAGAACACATCCACTTAAGACGAGACAAAAGTTAGGAGAATGAGGGACACAAAGACTTACTATTTCACCCAGGGAGGCGGCCAGCATGTGAGTGACAGGGGCCGCATGTGGTGCTGCGAGCGCTCCGCCAGCGCCAAGCAGGGACTTTGTGCATTCGTAGGTGACAAAGAAAGCAGCAGCTGAAACCAAGCAGAACCACAGCCATTTAAGGCCCATTAGTCAACCAGCATACAGCAATTAATATCCCTCACTACCACTGACAGGGGAGACACTGAGGTGTGTGCGTGTCTGTATGTGCAATAGAGGTAAAAGCTAAGAAAGTGTGTGTCCCCAATGGAAAGAGTTCAGTCTTTACTTTCACTATTCAAATAAATTCATCCTGCGGAAGTTTTGAATTCATGAGGAAACTGCATCAAATAAATGATATTTAAAACGACCACATGCGACTGCCGCATCTCATCTTTGCCAGTTTCTCTTTGGTACTGTAGCTCAGGCTCAGGGCCTGGTCAGACCTGGCATTAACATGCGTCTCAGGTGACCAGATCACAAGTGGACAGCTCTTAGTACATCATTCCACACCTGGCATTAGAATGCGTCTCCATATGTGTCATGAGTGACCACTTGTGATCGGATCTCACTTCCCCGCCTTATATGCAAATAAACACATATGTTTTGTTGGTTTTAGCCAGTCCGACTATGACAGACAGGTCCATTGTCAATGTGTTTGTTTGTTTGTTTGTGTGTGTTTGTGTTTGTGTGTTTGTGTGTTTGTGTGTGAGAGAGAGAGAGAGAGAGAGAGAGCGAGAGAGAGAGAGAGAGGCAGGAAGAGAGAGAGAGAGAGAGAGGCAGGGAGGGGCTGAGTGAATCACTGCACTGCACACAGCTCTACAATGAAATACGGTTTCAGCCATTTGAAATAGTAAAATGTTTTCAGTTCATTATGAAACTGTGGTAGAGGACGTCAGTTCTTCTCTGTGGCCCAGGATGCATTTGTGTTCACACTGCTAAAAGAATGTGACCACATGTGGCCCAGACCACCTCTGAATGTGGTCTGAGTGATCGAATCTCAAATGCGTCCTCAATGCATTGTGGGTGCATTGTCCACTTGTGATCAGATCACCTGAGATGCACGTTAATGCCACGTCTAAACAGGGCGAGTAATCAGCAGATTTGTGCAACTTTTTGAATTAATGATTATAAAATACCACTGCTTCGATTTGCACCTTACAGTACTTAAACAGTGTCACTTCAATCCAATGTGATTCTTACAAATATTTTTGTACTTAGCTCAGGCTGAAAATACTGTGGAAATGGCAGAATGCCTTTGAAAAGTTTGTAATAATGGGGCAGATATAATCGTGTACATTGAAAAAGCTTGTTCATAGATACTGTGATGTGTTTGATAGGTTGGTGCTTCCATCCTAAATAAAATTCTGTCTTCAAAAAAGTTAACTTTAAAATCTAAGTCCTCATTATTCCTGTAATCATACATCACCATAGATACATTTCCTCATAAGATCAAAACAAAAGAATCTCACCAAGAAACAAATACACATATATTAATAATGTAATATAATATATAACAGAACTTTGTTACTACTTGAAATGACTTAATGAGGATGCAAGCTGAGAACTTCACAATACAAAACAAAGCGAAGGAAGAAAACTAATTTGATTGTGAATTACCAAACTGATGTGAGCGATGCAGCACTCTCATTATTACTGTGCTGTGACTTGAGGCGTGATAAGTAAACAAAATAAATGAATGTATACGAGCAAAAAGAAGCTCTAAACACCCAACTAAAACAGTCACTTTGTGGATATTATCATCAACACAGCGCAAGGTTGAGTCTCAGTATGTTGTTCAACGTGCACCTGGGAGAGAACGTCCTCCACAAACAATAGGGAACAGTGAATCTCCAGCAGAACATATATCCAGCTATCAAAATGAGTGTCTTACCATTGGGGAAGGAGCCGACAGCAGCAGATGGGACCCCAGCGTAGATGCCCCTGAAGCCCCCTGCCTTGTAGAAGCCTTGCTGACTCTGCAGTCTGGTCTTAATGGTGTCCAGGGGGAAGAGGGTCAGATCCACACACATCCCTGCACAGCCTCCTGCCTGGGGAGATTTGAATCACTTTGTGAGACACAAAGCTGCGATACACACACTTTGACACCGGTGGTGGAAGAAGTATTCGCTTCGTTTATTTAAACCTACATTAACTGCGTTTTTTTTGGCCACTTGGGGGCAGCACAAAAAAGCAATTAGCACAACACTAACATATTGTTGATATGTCAAATTACACCAACAGACACAGGGCAAAAATAGGCTCAACAATAAGACGTCTTTACTGAAGATATGGGCTGTACAACCAAAACTGAGATGCTTTAAGAAAACACAGCTATACCACCTCCATGAGTTTGGCACCCCATGTGATCAGGATATGACTGAAACTGTTTCAATTGGTTAGTGAAAATTTGTGCACAAAATAAAAATCTGTGCTTCAACCATTTTTGAGAAATTAAATATTGAAATTTGAAGTTTGAATTGAAGTCCCATTAACGGCAAAATGACTCTAAAACGGCTTCCTTAATTTGTACGTCGTTCATGTGCAATTTGTGCAAGCAAAAAAGCACCTGTGCATCACTATGGCTCGAGTCTTGTTTAGAAATGTAATGTTTAATTTATTTATTATTTGCTTGCTTGTAAATCCTGGTAATATAGGGTGCCCTCTTCAAAGAGATACAAGCTTCCACCAAACTGGTGAAACTTTGTCCTGTACACTGTCATTTGTAATTTCAGATGAGTCTGAAAGACTGGCTCATTAAATTTATATGATCTGTGTCAATTCATGTTCAATAAAATAGTGTAAGTAACTTTCTGTGTTGAGCCATTTCATTCAGTTATTATTAGCACAGAAGCCCCAGATAAATTTAGACACTACAATATAAATACGACTCTGCTCATTCCCAATGACTGTTTAACTAAATACAGCAGGTTAACTTGACACAAAGCACACAGTAAAACTTTCTGTCCACATTATCTGTGATAGTCTTTATAATAACTCAGATATCTCCCATAATATCAGACAGTTGTATTATTTTGCAGTTTTTCGAGCTTGTGTAGTTGCTGAGTTAAAAAGACCCGAGGATTATCCATTAGGAGGATTTCAAATGTCATGAACCTGTGTGTGCAGGAGGTTACAGGTCCATGTGGTCTATCTTCTTTCTGGCTAGTCTGATAATATATTTTCCAAACAGGTTAATGCATTAGTGGCTTACATGCATAACACGAACAAAGTCTACAGTTTAAGCTCTAGTTGTACGTCTGTGTTCATTCATCGGTGTGATTAGCTGCGGTCACATTAGTAGCTGGCTGACGGCAGTATTGACACGCACCGGAACAGTTAGTACAAAATGAGCAGCTTACCACCAGGGACGCCACGAACTCTCGTCTCTCCATGTTCCGCTCTGGCTGTCAGCGGTCCGGCCCGTTCAGTCTGCAACTGCCGAGCATGTCTGACACTCCACTGAAATCAAAACATGCCTGTCAAGGACGCTGCCATCTTGCCTGAAAGACTTCCGCGTCACGTCATGACGCTCGCTGGTCACGTGACGCCGGACGCCTTTGTTTTACTGGATTCCCTGACAACAACAGCTTATCAATGTGTAGTCAGTTAGGAGTTGCGTGTGTAAACTGATGAAAGAATAGAAAGAATATGCAGTCACTCCGTATTATTATTAATTAAAAAACATAGATTTGGCATATTTTCACATATTTTTTAGATATCTATCTGTACATACCACCATGCTACACTATATTATTTATCTATTATTTTTCTTTTGTAATTTTTTAGTATTTGATAGTTTCATTTTGCATTTCTTTTCTGCAGCAGTTTGCAGTTGTAACGCAAATTTCCCCACTGCAGGACTTATAACTCCTTATCTTATTAATTGCGAAAAGACAGAGATAGCCCGAGGTTTATAAAAAAGTTGAAGATTATATCAGTACAGTCTTAAACTAATTTGGTCTAAAATAAATAAAATAAATTTGGTTTGGGATTTCTGTTATTTTACCACAAATATAAAATTTTTATTCATGTAATAAAGTGTTACTTTATTATTATCATCAAGTAATACTGTATGTAGTCATTGTTGTTGAAATTAAATCAGAAAATGTATAAAAGTCAAAAATGTGTTTCTATGACCACACACTTTTGTTGCCATTTCATAACTGTAGGGCCTTATATTCTTGCATCTCACCTCTCCCTCGTGATGCCGTGGACTAAGTGTGCTCAGGTGAGTGTGTTCTTTTCCAGTGACACGCCGACTGGGTTATTTATGGGCTGCTATCAGCCAGGCAGCTCTTCCTATTAGGAAAGAGCAGGCGAGGGGCCATCACCTCTTTATTCAGCCCGGACCCAATGATGTCTGGGCTGAGTGCGCCCAGTTTGAAGCTCGGTGCCCGTCATCCATCTTGTTGAAGCGGGTCTCACAGGGATCCCATTGGATGTGAGCCCCAGCTGGATCTCGACTGGGCTGCTGTCTCTGCTGTCTCGATCTGTATTAGGCCTGAGGATGGCAATAGCATCACTTACACTCTACTTTTCAAGCTTTCATTGTCTTGGTGCAGCACCCCAGAAGACAGAGTTCAAAAGAAGAATGTCTAAGGATTTCTTTCTCTTTCAGCCATGTTATTCAGTCGTGTTTTACTCACTGGTATGCAATGATTATTTATTGTGGTGCTGACTGTGTGCCAGTGATTCTACATTACAGCCCATTGCTAGGAAAGACTTACGTTATTGTCCCCCTGCTCAGTCTATACAGCACATTTATTCTATGCCATACCTGAAATTGATTTTTTTTTTCTTCTTTGTGTTGTTGTCAAGAAGTTTGCAGTGTCCAGAATCCTGTCTGTTCCATCATGTAAAGCCATTTATCACCCTGTCACAGCATGTCCTTGGTTATTGAGATTTCTGTCATTGTGTTCCAAATGCTGTATTCCTGTAAGTCTCAATGGACTGTTCGCAAACCTTAAGGTGGCATTAAAATTGCATAAATCGTAGAAGACTGGACCACCAAGGATCAGTTTTTCATTCTGAAAGATTCTTGTGAAGCTTAAGTGGCTTAGCTGACTCTTTGCTTCTGAACCATTAATTTATTTCTTCAGCAGTGATGAAAACCACCTTTTAACGCCTACTAATGCCTAATGTGAATTTTCCTGAATGAGGGCGTTTAAGAAGAGCTCAAATAGCCCAGTTGGCACCAACATGGCCCGTGACTTTTTGATGAGAGCCCCGTGAGTAGTAGGTGAATGTATCCATAGAAGTGAATGTAAAAGCTGGCTGGATGAGAGTAGGAGTGCTCATTTACCCCTGTGTAAGGTCAATGAGAAGCACCCAGAGTCTGGGCAGATTTGCAGGGAGCACCATTGATCTTGACCCACTCAGAGTATGATCTCAGAGATAAAAGGGAGGAGACGAGAGGGGAACTTATTCACTGTCAGCCACAAGTCAGCAAAGGGCAATTCTAGCCCGCAGGCTGTCTTTGAAAAACTGAAGGGCAAAAGCATGGAGGATTAAGCCACGAGGCGGGGAGGGAACGAAATGCAAGCAGCTATAAGGGTTATTGTAATAACACAGAGCCCACATCTATTGGCTTCGCTCTCCTTTAGAGGCATGTGTGTTAGGTGACAGCCGGAATGAACTCCGAGTTAAAAGGTTATGTGACTCTCACAGGTGAGAGGGTAATCAGAGTTCCCTCTGAAGTTTTAAGACACTTTTTCTGCCTGCTTTGTGTGTGTGCACTTTGCGTGTGAGTGTGTACATGTGTTTTCAGACACGGCACATTGCTTACATTTGAATCCTTTATTATGAATTTTCATGATCTCGCTTTAAGAAGCCCAGTAGCTCCTGTGGACGTTGTAACGGACCAATAATTGTCATTTTTTTCTTATATGTAAGCGCCATCTGTAATGGTCATTATTTGTGAGCTGAGAGGAACACACATCTTGACTCTGACACAGTGATATTATTCATGAGACAGGGTGGTCGAGCAGGGTGGTAAACTTCAGCCGAAACATAACTCCTGCTCATTAGCCAGCCTAACATTTGCATCATTAGGACACCGCAACAGCAGGGGTAGGAGGAAATGCGACTAAGCGCCTTTCATATAACTCTTTGTTTTTACTCTCGGGATGATAGGTTACATGAGTCTGTGACAGGGAGGGAGAGCAGGGGGGGTGGTGGTGGGGTGGTGGTGGTTGGTGGTGGTGTGTGTGTGTGTGTGTGTGTGGTTGTAGGGGGGGGGGGGGTGATGCTCCAAATGGAAAGGAGGGAGGTGACAGGAGGAGAGGAAGGAGGGAGGTGAGATAAAGGGAATAAAGAAGAAGAGAAAGGTTAGAGAGAAAGAGGAGAATAAAAGAACATTCATTATAAATTCACTGAATCGACAAGCTGTCAGGCTGCGCTGCCGTCCATATAGCGTGTAAGCCTCTGCTGCACTATTGACTCCTACGTCACACCCACAACTTCTCTTTCCTTTTCTCACCTTTGGTTGCATTCATATCACCTGTTTCTGCTCCACGCTATCTGCTTTTTGGATTGACCCCCGAAAGCCTTGCAAAGCCATGGCATCATCCCATCTTCCACCCCACCACCCCCACCCTCTCATTCCTGCTGGGCCACCAGTGAAATATGAGCTGCCTGTAGCATATTGATCCCATGCCTAGCTCTTGCCTAAAGATAGATAGATCACAGACAAGGCAAAGCACTCCTGATGCCTTCCTCTCTGCAGCAGCATCAGCAGTGCCAATGGCTTCACTAGTTGGTATTGACGGCAGTGATCAATTTCACCACAATGCACGCTGATGGATTCTGTGCTCTGGTTGTCGTTGTCTCAGTGAGAGCAGGTGAGCTGAGGGAAGGGCTGTCACTAATCGAACTGTGACGGCCTTGGATTGGTCCCGACATGTGTAATCACCCTTGTGTTACAGCTGTCCGGTGGCCACAATAGAGGCATCACATGTCCAACCTTTTTCACACCGTGGAGAAAATTACAGGAGATAAAGATTTGAATATATGTATCAAGTGTCGAATGCTGATTTGGACAAAACTATTTAGTTGCATTATAATCTTTATAATCTTTATGTACTTGTTTGGTTCCCAAATGATCATTGTAAAGGCTCAAGTCTCTTAGGTGCATAGGTTGAATTTTACTTAATTAAAACTGGCAAAACTAATTACACTGCCACTGCAGCTTCAACTGTACTTAGTGTTATAGTGCTAATTAGCAAATGTTGGTAAACTAACACGCTAAACTAAGACGGAGAACGTACCTTGTACGAGCTTTATACCTACTTAGCATCAGCATGTTAGCATTGTCATTGTGAGCATGTTATCATGCTGATGTTAGCATTTAGTTCAACATAGCTGTAGAGTCTTAGGCTTGCAGAGCAAAGTCGTACTGTGAATAATACTGAGAATCCATCTACAGCTAATGTAATCTCTCTGATATTATGTAATGCATGTCCTCCTGTGCCCCTTAACTGACTGTCCAGAGTGGCATCAGTGTTTCCTGTTGGTCAGTTATCTCAGTGTGCTCGTACATGCCTTTAGCTCAGTCTTTGACATGCACTGACCTGCTGCATTGCTTTGCCCTGTTAACTGTTACATGCATTCACAATTCAAGTTAAAGGGGTTTGTTTATCATAAACATTTAAATTTGGGTTGGTAAAATGTTGAATTTGCACCTGTGGTTGATTTGCTGGCCTTTTCACAGTCATGTATGACATAACATAAATATTGAAATTTGAGGAACTGTACCAGAGTAAGCAGAAAGCTTTTACAAGAAAAGAATAAATACATAAATACAACCCTTATAGAGGAATTTGCCTGTTATAAATAAGACTAACTAAGCTTTTAAAAGTTACTGTGTAATACAACTGGGTTTTAACAAAAAGTATACATGTCGCTTATTATGTTTTTAAACGTGTGTGAGAGCAACAGTGAGACAGAAACATTTCAACAGGTTGAAGCCTCTCTGAAGAAATGTGCTGACTGGTGTAAAAGCAGGAGCCAGTCTCCACACAGAAAGAAATGTACATATGGATATACGGTATCTATTCATCACAACTAGTGCAGCTGACTTCCTGCCTCTGCTGGTATTAACTGACTGGCCTTTCGCTGCTCTGACTCCTAGTCACAGACGGCACTTGCATTTGTCATGAGGAGGAGAAGGTGAGAGCACCCAAAGAACAGTGTTTCACAAAGAGCTGCAAAAAGAGTCACGTGAGCTTTGTTCGCAGCTTCCTGCACCCTTTGATAAATCGCTTCACCAAGTCTCACTTGTTTATAATTCACGCACACACTTTTCTTTAGATTGGGTTACACACATTCAATAGGTGATGGTCTAATAGAGAAGAATGGGGGATTGATTCATACGCATGGCTGCTAAAACAACAGAATTCAAAGGACAAAAGGCTCAAACACTGAAACACTAAATTTTCTTTAACTTTTTCTGATTTCTGTAGTAGGCGATAATGTGCTCCTTTCCCATTAGAGAACATTTTTGTGTGAT